AGATGGAACAGATTCAGAACGTTTTAAACCAAAAGCGAGCGATTCACTTGGTGATCTCATATCTTTTATGGAATTCACAACTTCTTGTATCTTTTCTGCTCGCCCAGTCCATTTTGATTCTCTTCTTCCTCGAAGTTATTTGGTTAATTATTTCTATTCGTTCGGGGGGACACCACTCCTTCCGCTTCAATATTATTTCAAAGAAGAACATTATAACAACGCAATTGATAATTTATTTCATCAAACGAAAACCCTTCTCAAAATGCTAATCCATAAAAAAATTTTTTCCCCACCTATTATCCTTCGACTGATACGGATTCTGGTTCTTATTGGCCTGAACGAATATAGACTTGCGAAGATGGTCACTTATTCTTTTGATATGTTTTACCCCTTACTTCACTCCGGAAGATTCAGGACATATCTTCAAGAGGATAGCATGCCACGCCTTGCAGGTGTTCTAAATAACGATCTCAAAGGGACAGGCTGCGACTCTCTTCTCATTGTCTACTATAAATGTGGGAAAGAATCGAGATTTGATGATCTTGAGAAGTTCGGCATCGAAAAGCTTACATATAACTCTATCGAAGAATTCCGTTCTTCACTTAGAAATATGATGGTTCCAGAAGTTTCCGGAGAAAAAACTGCTCCAGCCATTAAATTTTTAACTCAGTCAAACAAAGAAAGCGAACAGAATTCTGCTTCAATACTCGTAACCAATGACGATGACAACGACGAAGATAATGATTAACCAGCCTCGGGTATCCACTCCTGGTTTCATCAAATTAGAGATTCACCTCACGCTCAAGAGGCGGCAAAACGAATTCAAGTCTGGTTTCGCCAAATCGAGGACCGGGAAAAATATCGTAAATCACACGGTGATCAGATTCTGGATAAAGTTTATCATGAAGTGATGGAATTCAGTCAAGTTCTAGTGAAAGATAATAGAAAAAATTCAGCATTAAAATATGCCATTTACTTGAGGGGACTCACAGTAGACATAATTGTGAAGCTAATTAAAATGCAGGATAGAATGGATAAAATTAGGATTAAATTGGATAAATTAATTAAAGAATCAGATCCCGAAAGCAAATTGAAGGAAGAGTGTTTGGATTTGCGGGATGAACTAAGGTTTTTGATTACCATTCTTTACATTACTGTATATATTTCTTTTGTTAATCCAAGTTTTAATCCAATTTTAGGACCTTTCATTACTATAATGTCGAAGCAATGTTAAATTCGTTATCAATAACGGAAAACTTGGAAAGGCACAAAGAAATGAACATTGAATGGTTAAAAGAAGAATTGGAGTGTGCGAGCGGTACTACTATGGTTCAGGTTTCAGAATGGATCAGTAAATGCGATGCTATAAAATCGTGAATTTTTTGTAGTTATAATGTATAAAGGATACAGTATCACGATTATATTAGTTGAAAAAAATGATGCCAAATGTGCAAGATGCTTGAAATAATAAATATGTAAAGGCCTTTGCAATTAATTTCGACATTTTCCGGTCTAATGTAATCATCCATTTAAAGGTTTCACTATTTGGTTGAATCGTTTTTTCAATTAAACTTGTTTTCGGATATTAGTGCATTTA